CAGAAACAACAATAACAGGTAAGATGGCGCATTACACCACAATAGCCCAGGTGAACGCGCATCACGCTAAGGGAGCATCCGCTGCCATGGCGCGGTTGTTCACATCGGCACATTTGGGAGCCGTACTATTCCAAGAACCTTGGATACACAAGGGGCAGATCAAAGGCCTGTCAAGTAAAGGGACAAAAATAATCTGGGACAGTCGGTGTAACGACCCTAGAGCATGCATTCTCCTGAATGAAAATATTAATCATTTATGTCTTTCAGAATTTACGTCGCGGGACTTGGTTACGGTTCGGGTTAAACTTACCACCGACCCACCACACCGCGACCTAGTACTGGCATCAGGCTACTTCGCTGGAGATGGGCAAGCACCACCAGGAGAAGTACAGAGACTAGTCGAGTACTGCAACAGGAACAAACTACCGCTCTTAATTGGCTGTGACGCCAACGCCCACAACACTATCTGGGGAAGTACCGACACAAACCTAAGAGGTGAGCAACTGTTAGAATTTATCTTTCAAACAAACCTGAATATACTAAATGTAGGGAATACACCAACATTTGTTACTAGGGTCAGACAGGAGGTGTTAGACATAACACTTTGTAGTCCAAATATCGACCAAATGATCAGGAATTGGAGAGTTTCAAATGAACCCTCTCTCTCTGATCATAGAATCATAATATTTGAAGTAAAAGGAGTGCAGGAACGAACTGCCTCGTATAGAAACCCCAGAAACACAAACTGGGAAGAATACACAAGCAAACTGCAACGCAACCTCAAAAAAAATAAGGTTAGCTGCAGGAACACACGTGAAGCAGAAGAAACACTTCAAATCCTTAACGGAGCAATCATGGAGGCATACGAATCCAGTTGTCCTGTAAAGGAACAAGTAAACAAAAAAGGTTGCCCATGGTGGAATAGTCACCTGTCACGACTTAGATCCGAGGTTCGCTGTCTCTTTAACAGAGCCAAACGGGACGGAGAATGGCAGGGCTACACCGAAAAGCTGACTGAGTACAACAGAGAATTAAGGAAGGCCAAACGGAAAAACTTCCAGAACTTCTGTGAATCTATCACAGAAACACCATCAGCAGCCAGGCTATACAAAACCCTGGCAAAAGGCAGGGCGCAAGGACCATTGACACTTAAGAAACCAGACGGTAGTTACACAGAAAATGAAGAGCAACGAGCTGCTCTACTACTGGAAACCCATTTTCCAGGAAGCATACCCAATGGTACTGAAGAAAACAAAAAACGGCACAGAAAAACCAAGCAAGAAAACTGGGAAGTTGCCAAGAACCTTTGCACTCCGCAGCGGCTGGCTTGGGCGATCGACTCATTTCAATCGTTCAAATCACCTGGAGTAGACGGCATTTTTCCAGCCCTGTTGCAAAAAGGGCAAAATGAAATTATGCCGTATCTAATCAAACTCATTAGATACAGCCTTGCGACCGGATACATACCCAGTCAATGGAGAAGAGCTAAAGTAACTTTCATCCCAAAGGCAGGGAGAAAGGATGCCACTCTACCTAAGTCGTTCAGACCTATATGTCTCACGTCGTTCTTGCTGAAGACAGTTGAGAAAGTTGTAAATAACTATATCAGAACAAATGTTCTAGAAAAGACGCCACTACACCCTAGGCAACATGCTTACAGAGCGGGCAGATCAACAGAAACCGCTCTATTTGAACTCACTGACAGCATCCAAAACACACTGCTGAATAAAGAAGTAGCCATCTGCGCCTTCTTAGACATAGAGGGTGCTTTCGATAACACCTCTCATGAGTCAATAAAGAATGCGCTTGTCAGAAAAGGAGTGGACAAAACCACATCCACCTGGATGTGTGAAACGTTAGCCACCAGAACTGCAGAAACGGATGTGGGGGAACAAACCATACAAGTCACCACAACGAGAGGATGTCCACAGGGAGGGGTACTCTCACCCTTGATGTGGAGTCTAGTAGTCGATGATCTACTAAATACACTGACAGACCAGGGCTTCAACTGCCTTGGCTACGCCGATGATATTGTCATCATAGCCAGAGGCAAACACGAAGGAACACTCTGTGACCTTATAGAAAAAGCACTCCAAACCACGAAGGAATGGTGTCAGACTGTGGGACTGAGCCTTAACTCATCAAAAACCACACTGGTAACATTTACAAAAAGAAGGAAACTCCCATACCTGAGGAAAATTCGCCTTGATGGAAGCAGGCTTCACTGGAAACAAGAAGTTAAATTCCTAGGAATAACCCTAGACTCTAAACTCCTTTGGAACCGACACATAGAGAACATAACAAACAAAGCAATTTCGGCACTCATGGTATGTAAAAACATTGCGGGCAAAACGTGGGGTTGTAACCCATCGATCCTACGATGGATGTATACCATGATAGTGGGACCTATCATCATCTATGGAGCGGTAGCCTGGTACAGCCGAACCCAGCTAGTAACGGCTAGGAAAACCCTACCAAAGGTACAAAGACTCGCATGTCTATGCATAACAGGAGCAATGAGAACATGCCCAACCGCGGCAATGGAAGTCATCCTAGACCTAACACCACTTCACACAACAGTGAAGCGGGTTGCCAGTGAATCATATCTAAGACTGGCGAAGATAAGTCTACAAGGGAAAACGCACTTTGGCAGAGCTTTCCCTCTCCCAAACTGTGCACACCTCATGGACTTACCAAAAGACGCGATTGTTGATAAATTCAGTTTCGAGAAAAACTTTTCCATCGAACTAAGTACAAAGAACAGATGGAACATAGAATGTATCCAGTCCCTTAAGGCAAACACCATCAAATGGTACACAGACGGCTCCAAAACTGCTGAGGGGACAGGAGCCGCAGTATTCGGGCCACGAACCAGATACTCGGAGCCAATGGGCAAATCACCAAGCATATTCCAAGCCGAACTTCATGCAATAGGAAAATGCGTGCAGTTCAACCTGAACAGAAGGTACCGAAAACGAGAAATTGTAATAATGTCTGACAGCCAAGCAGCTATCAAAGCATTGAGCTCGCCGATAATCAATTCTAAGATAGTATGGGAATGTCTACAGAAACTCAATGAGCTGGGGAAGGAAAACAAAGTAACCCTACTATGGGTTCCTGGACACATAGGAGTCGAGGGCAATGAATGCGCAGACGAACTTGCAAAAACGGGAGCGGTCACTCCCTTCACTGGGCCAGAACCATTCTGCGGCGTCGGAAATGCGCACCTCCAAGAAATCCTCAAAAAGGAAGAGAACCGGGTAAGGAACAAACAATGGCTAGACCAACCAGGACTACGACAGGTCAAGGATCTATCGGGCAGCTACAACCAAAAAAGATCGGAACTGCTGGTCAACCTTAGCAAGAAAAGTCTCAAAACTCTAACCGGGTTTCTCTCGGGACATTGCAGACTGAATAAGCACCTACATAATTTGGGGTTGGAAGAAGGTAACACTTGCAGATTCTGTGAAGACGGTGAAGAAACACCTCACCATCTTCTACTGAACTGCGATGCCGTAAGCCGCTCAAGAATGAAGAACTTGGGAAGTCCCCTTATACAGCTGGAAGACATTCCAGCCCTGGAACCGCTAGACATCCTAAAATTCCTAAAGGACCTAGGACTAGAGAGGCTGCTTTAAGCAGGAAACCCGAACTTAGCAGCAGAAGGAGGGGTACAATAGATCAACCTTGGTGGCAGTGCAACTGACACCTCCAACACACACACACATACATACATACACACATACATGGTATTAGACTGCAGTTAAATTAAGCTGTTGTACACTAAATACTTAGCTTTATCGCTTAGTTGATTTGAACATCTTCGAACTGCTCCAATAACAGGCACAAATTTTCCAATAACATTTTCTACATGTGTATCAAAATTTAGGTAATTTGTAATATGGTGTCAGGACGGTCCCGGCTGTCTTTCTGTTAAATTCTTTAATAGTCTTCCGAATGACATAGAAATCTTAGATAGAGGGAAATTCAAAAGTAGGATTAGACATTTTTTGTGTTCACAATGTTTTTACATGTTTCAGGAGTTCCTCAAGTACATATTCTGAACATGTCCTTCCGACTGAAAACTTACTGTGATTATATATTCTACTACATACAGTGAGTTCATAAAATCCTGCATAAATTCATTATTTTAAAAATAGTAGAATTTTGGAATAATCGTTCAGACACGTCAATCTTGTTTTTTTGTTTGAAATTTTTCGATATATTTTTTATCATACAGGGTGTCTCAAAAATAGCTTCGCTGGTATCAACATTATTTTTTTAAATGGTACCCCCTGTACCGATTTTACATTCCTATCTTAGATTTTCATAAACTATCATTTGACACCAACTTTGAATTAAACAAGAGATTAAATTTAACCACAATTTTCAATTATAGATTTCCTTCAAAGTCGGTGTCAAATGATAGTTCATGAAAAATTAAGACAAAAATGTATCATCGATTTTGTTGTAAAATCAACCGTTCAAGTTTTACAGTCTGTCAAAGATGCAAAAAAGTCAATTTTCAATATTTCTAGAATTTTCTGCAAAATCCAGAAATGTCATAATATACAGAGGGTAATATTTGAAAAAATAAAGTTGATGCCAGCATAGCATTTTCTGAAACACCCTGTATGATAAAAAAAATATTGAAAAATTTCAAACAAAAAAACAAAATTGACGTGTCCGAGCGAATTTTCAAAAATTCTACCGTTTTCAAAATAATGAATTTATGCGGGACTTTATGAACTCACTGTATGTATGTACATTCGGATTATCCGAGTTTTCAGTTATCCGAGGTGAGTACCCCCCTCCCCCCACGTTATCTTGGATAACTACTGTATCTCATTTTTTACAGTAAATTTGATTTGGTAAAAACTGTAATCTGACATGTGAATACAAATTAACAGAAAAACAAAAGAGTCAAACCAATAAGGCTGATGACTGTGTCCCAGTAAGAAAAATACATCTCAATGAAATACATATACAAAAAAACTTACCTTTTCTCCAAATCCCGCTTCTCCTCACCTCCATCATCCACCTCCAACAAATCAACATTAAAACTCTGCACCTTCTGATCGCACAGCTTATGATGCACCGTCGCCTTCTCATTAATCTCTACCACTGTGATATCATTAAAATCAATCATATCTTTCTGCTCACTTTTTTCCGAGAGCGCTTTTTCAATTAAAAAATTATTCGGCTGCACCTTGACAACATTCTGAGGGGGATTCTGATTGGCGGATGTTTCGACCAATGGCGCAACAACCAGATTTGGATAGGGTGGTAATTTTTTATCGTCGATTGGTTTAATTATTTGCAGCGCCGTCGGTTGAGTCAGTGAAGTGATGACATCGTTACATTTGAGACACAGGTTGGATTTGTGTGAGGCGTTGCCGGTTTGGGTGCCTACGTGATGGTGCGTGATGTCGTAGACGATTTTTATGTTTTTGGCGCAGGTGCAGCTATCGCAGTGTTTGGCCATGGCTCGGTCTTTTTGACGTTCTTCTAATACTGAAATTGAAACGTTTTTTATTACTGTTTGTTTTGGGTTTTTTTGGTTCCGAATCGGATCAGAATTAGGGATTAGAACAATCCTCCATTATTTTTTGTGCGCAATCCCAGAACCGTTCCAAATTTTGAATTGAAACAAAGCTAGTATCTCTTACCTTTGGCCATAATAGCGGCTGAAACAATATCAACCTGTGGCATTTCCAAATCACCTTCATCACCTTGTTGCCGTCTGCCACCCTCAACAGCAGCTCGATCTTTTGGCGATTTTGGCACAGAATAAACCATAGCAGTAGGAGGAAACGTGGGAATTGGCACTTTGATGCTTTTCGGTTCCATCGGTGCCCTTTTTGGCTCTTCGAGGGGTTTTCTTTTGTTGGTCATGTAAGCAGCAACTTGAGTCTGTACCTGTAATCAATTATAAGTTAAAATATTGGAACAAATGGCATTAAAATCATAAGTTTTCGCACAAATTTTAAGAAAATCCGGTACAGTTCTAATTATCAACCCTGTATCTCTATGGTAAACAAAATTCCAATGAAGCCTCGCCCTCAAATGTGATCCACCCATTATATTGTTTTTCTATTTGGGTGTCATATCGAAGTCTTTTCGACACTAAAAGTAGTTTCGAAAAGAAGCTCTTTGAGACACTCCTTTTTTACTTATCGGAGGTTGGTTACACTGGCTGACTGATGGTCATCGAACTGTCATTCGCGATTTTATAATAGAAGATTTCTATATTTGGCATGCAGTGTTACCAACTTAAACATATGAAATCAGGAAATATGAGAATAAAACTTCCAAGAAAAATTTGTTTTTTTTAATTAAACAATACCAAAATAGAAAAAATAGTATAAAATATTCGTTTCATAAGACATTTTATCGCACTCGCCCTTTAGAAAACTCGCCTCCGGCTCGTTTTCTAATATAGGGCTCGTGCGATAAAATGACGTCTTATGAAACTTGTATTTCAATGTACTATTATAAGTTATATAGCGCTTAGGTACTTCTGTAATTTTAATTGGTTCTAATCTAAATATTTTTATTTTACTATAGTTCAACTAAGAGTCCAACCAAACTAAACCACTGTCAAATAAGTTTTATATTGCTTACCTCTGATGGTAAGGAATCGAACCGGTGCGCCACAAAATTGGTCTGTTTGCACTGCAAAAACTGTATAGCCAAGTTCACATCGTTTTTGTACCTTTCATTGTCTTCGGTCAGTTTTTTAATGGCATAATTGGCCTCCGCTAGTTTGTGAGACAAAATGGCCACATCTTTGGTCAAAGTATTTTTGTCTGTTTCACACACATCTACCAGTTTCAATAGTTTGTCTTCTAAACCTTGATTGACTCTTTGGACTCGTCTGTGGGCTTCGTATAATCTGAAAATAATTAGATAATTTACGTTAATGCTCTTTTCCAGATTGTTTGAACTTTTTAATGTAATTTACTTCATCGAGAGAGGTTGATGTGACAACTTCCAGTTTGATTTTACAAATTGAAGGTATAATTAAGCTATCCTCAATTCTAAGCCAGATAAAAAAAATAATTCAATTTAGACTGTGCTTACTGATGCAGACATCTCGATGCACCCAGGTTTTTAAAAAAGATAATTTTTCAGAGATTTTTTTTCTTGAGACTTCAACAGAATCAAGAGGCTGAAACATTTGGAAAAAAATACATATACAAATACTAGCTTCAGCAGAATTTTATCCTCTCATTTTGACATGTCTTTTCCTATGAAAACAACAAGGATAAAGAGGACCAAGTTTCAAAATTTACTACTTTGTTAGTATCCAAAGTCTCATTTATTTTCATTGTTTTATTCATCAAGTCTTCATTTAAATTGGGATGAGGAAGTACCTGAAGAACGATTTTTTCGAAGTTTTTTTCAATTATGTTTCCAGGCTTAATGTCATAAATCATCATAAATTCAATTTTAGTATCTACAGTATAAAAATACTTATCGAAAGTAGTGAAAGTACTTGCCAGAAGACCAACAATATACAACACTTATGTCGATAAACACTTACCTTTTGTATTTGTCCTGCCACGTCAGCAATTCCTCTCTCAACGCAACGAATTCTCCACTGGGAAATTTGTTGGCCTCATTTAAAAAATTTGTTTCCATCATGACAATATGATTTTCCTTTTCTAACATTTTTTGTTTGAGATTTTCGATCTCAACGTGAAGCTGGACATCGTGATCGGTAGCCAGACATTTTTTACAAAAACAACCACATTCCTAAAAAAAAATTTAGTTTGTTAGTTTTTGTTACAAACAATAAAGTCAATAAATACACTCTTGTTTGCAATAATGCAGCTTATCATAACAAAACAATATGCTGTTCACTTTTTTTTTCACATTCATTCAAAATTGGAAGTTTATCCATGATTGTTAGGTTGAGAGTCTGGAATGGAATTACATCTGTACTAATTCTTTTCCACTAATTTTCTTCCGATAGTTACTCAAAAAAAAATCTTAAGTAGATTGTCTAGTTTAATGTAATAGCTTTTTTCCTAACGAGTGCGGGAAGAGAAATTTCCGGCACGTTCGTAGAAAAAATATCTTATTCGTGACCTTAAGTCGAGGGGCAATGAAAAAAAATTTAAATTTTTTCGAAACTTTTTCTGCCTGTTTCTTTTTTCAATTTTTGTCTATCCAATTTTTTTTTTCCAAATTCGTAAATTTTCCATTACAATATCTGGAATTTTCTTTATTTTTTGATTTAGAGGAGATGGAGATGGAAAAAATTAGCAAAGTAGTTAGTCGGGAATCTGAGGTGTTGAATTCGACCACCTCTATACAAGTCGCGAACATCCACCTAAAAAACATGAATTCCTATGTAAAATGACCTGCCGGATTCGAATTTCTTGTTCGCCCTTTCATCCGGAATTGCGAAATGTGTCAAAACATGACATTTTTGAAAAAACTGAATATTTCCATTGAAATATTTTTTTTTCAAAACTAGTGCATAACTTTGTTAATTGATGTCCGATTGTTATGAATTTTGGATATGATATTTTTCAGTACTTCCCTGACATAGTTTCATAACAATAAAAAACATAGAACGTCACATAAAAGCTACGTAATTTTTTTTTCGCCAGATGACACAAAATATCGTCATTTTGCAGCGTGAAATGGTGAGTCGAGAAAACTTTTTTATCTGTAGAGATAGATACCAAGTATAAGCGAGAAAAATGTTGCCAATGGAGTAAAGAAACTTTTTTACTAAAACTTTTTTTCCATGCGACGTTTAGTTTGGGCTGTATTATTTTTTAAAAACCGAAGAAAATTGAATTGCCGCATCTCAACTCTCGGCATTGCCGGTGAGCGCGATCTTAGGACGCGATGCAGCGAATCAGTGTGTCAGAGAGAGTTAACACCACAGCCTTCTTCATACGTGCAACAAAGACACGCATTACGATATTGTTATAATACAGGGTGTCCCAGCCGAGAGTGACCCATTTTAAATGCTTATAACTTTTAAACCAGGTGATCTAGCTACCTGCGGTTTGTGCCATTCGATTTCTCTTGATTTCTTGATCTAAAGTTTTTTCTAGTAGGTTTCAAATTTTTTTAAAACTTATACAGGGCGAGTAAAAAAAAATCCGTTTTTCAACACCGAAATTCTTCACTATTTTCAATGGAACGCTCTGTATATCGCAACGTCAAAAAATAGATTCATGTTTAAGGTATCCATGTACCAATAGACATCGTCCCTAAAACTTGAAGTTTTAGCCGTAAAAAAATCAAATTCGAAATCTTGGTATTTTTGCAAATACCTATTTTCAAAGCTTCAACCTTATTTGTGAGTACAGTCGCGCACATTGGAATTGGCACACACTTTAAAAAAGCACCTCGTATTGCATCAAAATCTGACTTTTTTAATAAGCCGGTAATGCCAAAACTGTGTCAAAGTGATAAGTCAGTGGCAAACTAGAACAGTTTTGTTAAGTTTTTAAAAAATATTGAAAAAAAATGTACCATATTTTAACCAACGATGAAAAAGCCAAAGCAACTCTAATGATTTCACAAGGGAAAACTATATGTGCAGTCGGCTTAACGCTTGGTTGTGGAAGTAATATAATTATGAATTTGAAGAAAAAATGGGTTGAAACTACTTCTATCACGGACCTACAACGACGAAGACGACCAAGAAAAACAATTCGACAAGAAGATCAATCTCTTCTTGATTTCATATTCATTTATTTCGGAAATTAGAGCCAAAAGAATTGAGTAGTTTCCCAGCTCCAGCTAGAACTGCGCGAAGGGCGCGAATGCCTATTAAGGAAACTGAACTTCAGTGCAAAGAAATAGACAGTGCCGATTACAGTTTGCCCAGTTATTTTCTCAAGAACCTGAACATTTCTGGAGCAATATAGTTTTCTCTGACGAAAAAGTTTTTCAGTCATGCAATAGCAGCCCAACATTAAAAGTTTATAGGCCACGACGAACCAGGTATGAGACCTCATCCAATTTAATCAGTCTAGCGGAAGATTTTCTGTCCATGCATGGGCCTGTATAAGTGCTGTAGGTCCAGGGCAGATTTATTTTATTGATGCACGTCTGACTAGCGAGAAATACATAATTAGGAGATGTAATAATGCTCCATCCACTAATGAACGCTTTGGATATAATTTTACGTTCCAGCATGTAAGATCATCAATCAACTCTTTTTTTTTCAATGGAAATATATTTTTTTATTACAGAATCTTATTCTACAGAAAAAAACAAGTAACTTTTACTTGAAGCATTTTTCGATCTGGTGTCAATTTAAACTGATAAAAAAGAACGAATAATTTTTTTGTTTCCTCCTCACAAAATCGAACAGTAGAGAAAGGTTACCTACCAAAAATACCTCAAAAACTATAACAATTGATCAAAATGACCACCGCCATCTTCAACACACTTGTCAATTCACTTTAAAAATCAAACACACAGTTTATCAAGAGGTTCCCACAAGACCGGATAATATAATGGAACACATAAGAAATGCTTAGAGCTGTCAGTAAAGAAACTGTAATTTGGTGCCATGAAAGCTTTTTACAGCGAATTAACAAGTGTGTTGAAGATGGCGGTGGTCATTTTGATCAATTGTTATAGTTTTTGAGGTATTTTTGGTAGGTAACCTTTCTCTACTTTTCGATTTTGTGAGGAGGAAACAAAAATTATTCGTTCTTTTTTATCAGCTTAAATTGAAACCGGAACGAAAAATGCTTTAAGTAAAAGTTACTTGTCTTTTTCTGTAGAATAAGATTCTGTAATAAAAAAATATGTTTCCATTGAAAAAAAAGAGTTGACCTTGAAAACGTTGTCAAAGTCAAAAATCAGTACCGCCATTTTGTTTCCCCTATGATACCATGTAACTTTTATTTGAACTTTTTTTTTCAAAAACGCACCGTTTTCCAGATATTAGACTGTCTCAAGTTAAATGGACCACCCTGTATAGGCATGCTGACTCTAGTTGTCCTAACATAATGCTATCTGACCATGTCCGTCATGTTTGTTATCAAATAAACAATGGATTGAGAGATTTTCAGCTGTCATGAAACTCATTCATCGCGATAAATTTTTTACACATTCAAAGGTGCGTGGGCGTAGCTTGTCCCGCTACCTCACTTGCTGACTCGAGTATAGTTATATACATCACAAATACAAGCTTATATTACATTTTCAGCTTTCATGAAACTCTTGCACTTTTTTGGCGCTGGCTCTCGGACTATTAGCTAAATAGACAGGATAGGGTTTTTCAACTTCAAATGGAAAGTTAACTTTAAGTTGATTATGAAATTGGCTGTAAGAGCTATGGAATAACGATCGCCTTTCTCAATGACAATACATGCTTGAAACAGGAAATGTAGGTACGGCTTCTTTTGTGACACTGTACCGTTTCCTAATTACTTGATTGACACAAAATACACTCGTTGAAATTGATATTTTGACTTATGATAGGTAGGTACTTCATGTCTTATACAATAACAAACATAAGCGGGAGAAAAACAAAATGAAATTCAAAAGGAACGCTTCTGCCGTCGGTGTCGTCGCGTTATCTTTCTTACACATATAAACAAGCCTGTGGTGTTAGCTCTCTTTGACACACTGATCGCTTTGTCCGCTGCACCGTGTCCTGAGACCGCGCTCACCGGCAATGCCGAGAGTTGAGATGCGGCAATTCAATTTTCTTCGGTTTTTAAAAAATAATACAGCCCAAACTAAACGTCGTATGGAAAAAAAGTTTTGGTAAAAAAGTTTCTTTACTCCATTGGCAACATTTTTCTCGCTTATACTTAGTATCTATCTCTACAGATAAAAAAGTTTTCTCGACTCACCATTTAACGCTGCAAAATGACGATATTTTGTGTCATCTGGCGAAAAAAAAATTACGTAGCTTTTATGTAACGTTCTATGTTTTTTATTGTTATGAAACTATGTCAGGGAAGTACTGAAAAACATCATATCCAAAATTCATAACAATCGGACATCAATTAACAAAGTTATGCACTAATTTTCAAAAATAGTTATTTATAATATAAGTGCTAAAAGTGACATTTTATTTTGTGAAAAGGGAAGTTTGGGACACGACGCCGAAGGCGGAGTGTTCCATCCCTTTGAACAAAATAAAATCACTTTTAGCACGAATATCATACACTATTTTTTCTAGAAACGCACTAAAAGTGATTACTTTTAGCACTAGTGCTAAAAGTAATCACTTTTAGCACCAGTGTCATAAAATGGCATTTTAGACACTGACAGCATCCGTTAAAAATGACACTTTTAGTGCATTTGTAGAAAATAGTTATTTATGATATAAGTGCTAAAAGTGACATTTTATTTTGTGAAAAGGGAAGTTTGGGACACGACGCCGAAGGCGGAGTGTTCCATCCCTTTGAACAAAATAAAATCACTTTTAGCACGAATATCATACACTATTTTTTCTACAAACACTCTTTTAAAAGTCCAATTAACGCATCCTTGCAATCCTCAATTTCAAATCTTTCATCTAATTTATTTATGAAATAGGTTGCTGGCAAGAAAAAAAAACGAATTTGTTTATTTTTATTTGTCATCTCTGTTTGTCATTGTTGATTAGTAACGTCAAATAATCACGAATTTTTGCTTAAGGTTTTTGCACAATTTTTGGTTTTTGCGTGGTTTCATCCAGTTTCATTGTGGTTTATTTTCTGGGCGATGGAAAGTGATCAAGACAATGAATTTCTCCCGGCGGAAATTGAAGAAGCTGC